AAATCAAATAAAAATTTGACAACTCTCTATGGTGTGCCACCAAGTTAAAGATGTGGCTGTGGCGATACCATGGATTCAGTCTGGCAATAAGGTCTTGTTTGATAACATCTTGCCCCCTCAAAAAACGTGCTGAATAGGGAACAACTGAGGTACCGTAAGCCCGTGTGCGGGTATAAATAGTTTTGTACGTTTGTCTGGTCCAAGACGTTGAGCTTCATTCAGACAATGCACAATGGAGAGAGTGACTGGCCTCAGTGGGTATTTCGGACGCCAATCTTTCGAAGTAGCGTAACTGATTGGACACAATGATGTTTATTCATAAATTATGCGGTAGGTATTGCTATCGATGCGACACAAAGTCGGGAATGCTACCATCGGATGAACGGTGGCATTCTATGTCTATTTGAACCCATTACTATTGGCCATTATGCCAGAAGTCAGGTGATCAGGCTAGGGCCACGGTAGGGTTAAACTCTGCATAATTGCACGCTGTTTGCACAGTTCCGGCTTCAGTTGCTTGATCGCAATTTCTTCTGCTGTGACCAGTAGGCGCTTCCTGAGTCATTTCGTGCAGCGTTTTGCTGATACATACACTATTTTGAAAGCCTCTTTCCTTTGTATGTTATGTCCACTATCTACTAGGTGGTCTAGGATGGAGCTGTGGACATTTCTGATGGTACGACGCTGTAATGAGGCAGGGCAGTGTTCCGCTATCCGCTTTGAGAGACGTCTGGTCGTGTGTCCGAGCTATCTCGCACCACAGGTGCAATCGAACTGGTATAGGACATCGGATTCGGACTGGGCCGGAATTCTGTCTTTTAGGCGGTTGGTGATGAGCGGAACGGTTTCGGCCTGAATGCGGACTCTGACGTTTGGGTACGTTTGGTTTAGCGCGGAAGTCAATTTCCTACTCAATAGTTCGAATTGTATATCTCCTTTGAAAGGCACTGAGAGGAAAACATTTTTCCTGCTCATGGTCAATTCTGGCTCAGGCACAGCTCGGAGCTGGAAATGCTTTTTAATGAAAGCAGTTGGATATGTTTTACTTTCCAAAGGTGAGTATGAAATTGTTTTCCGCTTCCAGTGTCTCGGAGCTGCAAATCCTTGTTGCCCGATAATACAGGCAACGTAGCAAGTTGCGTTTGTACTTTATCGGGATGAAACTGTTTAAATGCGTGTACTGAACTCCTCAGGTTTACTTACGGAAAACCTTGCTTTCAAACGATCCGTTCCCTCGTCGTCGCAGCAACACACACAAAATGGCAGCTTACTAGCCGTTGCAATTTCGCAAGTGAATTTTACTGATGGGTGCGCGTTGTTAAATTGTTTCAACAGGTGGACATGATCAGTATGCGGGTAGCAGACAATAAACGCATCATCCATGTATCGTTTGCAATAATCAAGGGACGCGATTCCGTGTCTGATTAGTTCGCGTTCAATTTTTGGAGAAAAATTGTCTGCAAGCAGCGGTCCTAGAGGCGATCCCATTGCAATTCCGTCTGTTTGTCTAGAGTAGTTTCCATCAAATAGCAACTGTCTGTTGAACGTGCAACGTAGAATCAGCTCTTTCACATTACGAGCTGGGATCAAAAGAGCAAGATTGTTTCCTGTTAGGTGTTCACAGATGCCATTACGTTTCTGACAATGGAACGTTTGTAAAGAGAGATTCTACATCAAAGGAGCGTCCATTTTTTTTTCACGTTTAAGTTTTCTACCTGATGAACGAATGCAAATGTGTCGCTCACAGTGCGACCGGACAATGCTTTACGTACGGGTTGGAGAAGTTCCACAAGCCAATTGGCGACTGAGTGTGTAGCAGACCCAGCCATATAAATCACTGGTCTAGTGGGGTGTTAGGTTTGTGGACTTCTGGCACACCGTAGAGGTGAGGTGGATGTGAGCCACGGTATTACTCAGTCATGTAAGGAGCTATCGATGTAGTTAGCGCGTTTTAGTTTTTTCACGACTTTGTGTCGGATGGCTAGCAATAGCTACCGCAAAATGATTATGAAGCTCATAATTGTAATTACCCGGAGAGATTTGTCGCAAAGAAATTTCTTCGCCATTTCCTTTCGACACAATAATGTTACTAAACACTAGCAGAGAAATTCCGCTACATCCAGCAAGATGCTTCAGCGACCTGTTGATCGCTTTGAATTGCCCGTTTAAGAGTCCGGGTAAGATCACAGGTGAGCGGTATGACGCAGGCGGTGACAAAACGTACAATCAATTAACGAGACACGCATGGAGGCCAAAGTCCCGAGACGTAGAACGTTAATCTCCTGACTTTCATTCACGTGATGTGACCACGTGGGTTCCCAACTTAGTGTAACTCCGATAGTTCACTAATGTACAGGTGTTTAAACTGACACTGTCAATATTAAGCAGCAGGGTATACGCCTGGAGCTGTTGATAACAATCTTCAATGGATAGTGAGAAAATAACCTCTTTACACTTTGACGCGTTGAATGAAAGTCGGCGGGATTTGGACCAGGGGGTGTGATTGACCAAGAAGCATTGCAAGTTGGCCGACGAATCTACGGTGTGATTGTGTGCACCGACGATCAGGTCATCCGCACAATTAAGCAGGATGGCTTCTTTTGGAGCGGGAATGAAGTTAATGTAGGTGACAAACAGGAATGGGGACAAAATACGTCTCTGAAAAACACCTGAAATTGTGTTGAGTGAGGGCGAGCTTTTCCCACAAATCTTGGTACACGGCGCACAATTGGAAAATGTAGTCTGTAAGAAAATATACCAATGAAGGTTGAACTCCGGAAACCAGCGGATCGTGTAACAGCAGCTAGCGGTTTACACAACTGAAGGCGTTGCTGTAATCTAGGAACCAGGTCCGCGTGGGTTTGTTTTTTCTATCGAGTATTGAAAGCACGGAGTGTGCAAGTTAGGCTAATGCATTCAAAGTGTACCTTGAACTGCCATAGGTGAACTGAAAAAGATCATGCGAGTGGGCTTTGACAAGTATTCTATCAAGTACGATTCGTTCAAATATCTTCAAAGCCACTGATGTACAAGCACTGGGCCGGTACCTGCAGGTTCTTTTTCTCGTACATGAGTAATGTGGGCGCTTCGCCAGCAGCCATCCATCTGGTGTTGATGTAGGTACATGTTGTACATTACGGAAAAAGGCTGTGCTAAGACAGCGCATTCGTTGAGGATTATGGAAAATAGTCCGTCCGGATCGGGCGCTTTGCACGACTGTATCCGTGTTGATTCCCTGTGAATTGTTATACTATCGATGGGTGGTGAATTTTGTGAGGAGAGTTGCAACGGCAAAGATGGTAAGCGCGAGGCTGTATCATCTATATGAGCAGAGAAGTTGCGGTTTAATTCCTCCACATCAAGAGTAGTAGTATATTCACAATCTAATTACAGATAACGTGCCATAAAAAAGACGAAATAAAAGGGGAAACGAAAGACAACATGAAAGAAACGGTTTTATTTTCGGTTTTACACATGTCGTTTTGAGATTTTTCGTGTGTTTTTGAGTTTTACGTTCGATATGACGTTAAGTAATAGCTAATACGGTTGAACAGCACGCTATCCACTGATGCCGGGTGCGCGCCGTAGCCTCCATTGTTTCTAACCACTAGCAGTCCGAATCGTGTGATCCCCATCCTGGATGGCTGATCCGTCCAACGGAGGCTAAGCTTGAGGTTGCTTTCTTCATTTTTCTTCTCCATGTCATTGGTTGTCCACCGCGGCGCTTTTTCCAATCGCTTCCGGGGAGTGCAAATAAAGTTCGACGGGAAAGGCGATAGGCTGGCGTGCGCAATACTTGGCCGAGCCAAGGCATGCGGTATCGGAAAATAACCGTTTGGAGGCATGGACTATTTGCTCCAAACA